TAGGTTTATCATGTGGGCGATATAATTCCCCACTGCGGTCACAGGGGAGAAAAGTTGGCGCACAGGTACCTCAAAAGTAAATACATCAATCTGAATATGAAAAAGAAACGAGATATAGCGCGAAAATAAAATTGCAGTAATATATATATCTCAAATTCAACTTTATTCTCAGTTCGTCCGTCATAAGGATTATGATTCCACATATTGATATCAATTTATTTTGTCACTTTCGGCTACTATTCACAATCAAGTTATTCTTTTTGTTAGCTTAAAACTAAAATGTTGTCTTCACGGATGCCTCAGTTATTGAATTATTTATTTGTATAAGTTGCTTTTTCCGGACGCAAATTAAAAAGCTGTTTTGTCTTTGCGTGATACCTGTTATAAAACGTCTTGGTTCTTAAAACAAATAATATTGGTATAGAGCTAGTGAAAAAATAGCTAATTGTTTTTTATAGAGAAAATCATCATTACTCATCAAACAGCTAGAGTGAGATGCTTGCCATACCTCAGACCGAAAATCATTCTTTATCAAGTCTTATCTCGAACAAGCATGTACTTTCGTTTTTAATATACCTATTATATTTAACCAAAGACACCTGCTAAGAGAATTTATAAACACCTCGTTGGTTAAATTCAGTAGGAAGAACTAACGCATAGACGCGTGCACCCAAAATAGAGAAGAAAGCGGAAAGAAAAACCGGCGTGGTTTGAATTCCATTTCCTAAAGAGTGAGGTTTAAAGTAATTTATCGGATCTGAAGTCGTCGTTAAGATCCATAAGACTGAATTGCTACTTCTGCAAAGTAACGTTAACTTCACCTGTATCAAGATTCTTTGGTATGGCGTGCGTGGCGTTAAGTTTAGTTTTTTCTTGGTGTATAGACAGAGAGTATTTTTGTGTTTCATTCATGAGTACCGCTTGAAAAATGTTTGATATATCTGAGAGTAATTCCTTCCGAAACAGGAATTCGCATACATAAAACCTTTCGCATAAAAATTCAGCCGCATTTGGATTTGCAAAATTTTCAGGTCCCTTATCCGCTGAGGTAAGTTTATTTATTTTTTTATTTCTTCTTTTACGGCAGGCAAACTTAAAAAATAAGGGCGCTTTCCAAACCGGGTCAGAACAAGCCGGACAAACCATGGGCGAACCAGTCGCACATAATAGGCATTTTACAAGGTTTTTTTTTTCATGAAAAACCATCTTCACGCATGCATGCATATACTATTTTAGATTTGACCAATCTGGCTGAATAGGAATGGTCTGGTCTGTGAGTTCTGACAAATGAAAGCGGCTTTAGACTTGACACAAGTGAAAAGTGATAGCATGGGTAATAAGAAGACCAGTGACTTTACCAACTGGTGGTGCAAACTGCATAAATTAATCAAGCTAGGGGAAGTTATTAATCAAGACAAAATATGCACAAATGAAATGTTTTCAGTCGCCCACCAGTCGGTAAAGGCGGTATTTCTCCGGTTAAATGGTTAAACTTTCCAGCGATCGTTCACTTGCCAGCCGGATTTCAGCAACCTGAAGTTCTAGGTAACTATAAAACTAATTAGCGGGTAGAAATTTCGACTGTATTTTCTTGGAATTCATTAAATTTATTTTAATGAATATTTGAATGTATTACTTTAATAAAACTTCTCAAACTCATTAATAATTCATTAAGAAAATACAAAGGAAATTAATGTTTAATGAGTGTTTGGAAATCGGATGAAACACTGCTTAGTATTTGCATCCTTAATTTCTCCTTCAAAAATGATTTTGTTTGAGAAGAAATATCAAACATTCGACACAGTGTTTCATCACCAGATGAAACACCTCGAAGTTCGTCAAAAATACTCCGCTGCGCGTCGTATTTTCAACTCTCTTCTCGGTGTTTCATCTGGTGATGAAACACTGCATCTCATGTTTGATATATTACTTCAAAATCCGATTTGTATTAATGCACGAGTCGTTTCTAAAGTACGCCACTCACATTTATTATATTGATCTATCACTCGTGTGACTGGTATTTTCTAATCTACGACGTTTAATGGCAACTAACCAAAAAAAACGACAAGCGAGAACTCATACGGTTATTATACGTTGTATTCAAATTGCAAAGCCGAAAAAAGTTTAATGAAATGAAAGAATTAACACCAAGCATTAGTCTATAGAAAAAGAAAAGCGAGGAAAATACAGTCCTTCGCCCTCGCTAAACAAATAGACATAAAAATTTCCAGTAAGTGTACAGAATTTGCAATGAGATCGGACAGTAAACGCTAGTAATTTGCGTATCAGTTAGAATAAGAATATAATACAGACCTTCCAAAATTTGCCTTCTTTCATAGAGGATAACCGAACATATAAGTTTTATCAATCCCACAGTATTCTTTCAATTATTTGCGGCAACGATACAAGTGTTTTTTATAACAAATTTAACTGAATAGGCCTGTTAGAGATACGTTTTTTTATCCTTAAATTGCAAGAAGCGAAGAAAAGAAAAGTTCCTATTAGCACGATATTTTCCGTCAAGTGTAAAAACTAATACAGTACTGTTTACTGTGTTGGGCTCAGTGAGGTTTTTTAGTTTTTTTTTTCCAAAGTCAATGCCAACATTTTTACAAAGAACTTCAACATGACGCAGTCTTCATTTTCATTCCTTTGCGGGTTGATTTTTGAATAAGTTTTAAATCGCCAAAGAGCTGTTGAATTTATCCAGAAGACCAAAATACATTTTAGTGATAATGTCTGAGCTTAAAATACTGTGAATTGAACACATGTAATTGTTTCTTTTAAGCCGTTTTCTAGCTTGCTACTGATAAGTTAGAATTATACTATAAATTTGTTTTTATTGAATCAGATAGATTCACGCCAGAAGGGAGTGATCATCGTCAGTGCCGGTCACGGACTCATATCGCGTCGCCCTAACTTTTTGAGGGTTCTAATCTTGTGCTTATATTTTAGTTTTTTTTAGATGAAACACAAAATATTTCCCGCTGAAGCAAGAAAAAGAATTTTTCTTCTGAGAAAGTTGCTCAGTAAAAATTTACTTCACCAAGAAAATTACTTAACAAATAAAACTATGATAAACAAATAAATAATTTTATAATCCAGATCTTGCCCCGTCCTTAGGCTTAGGCCTGTTTCACGCCGCGCTNCTTCTGGTCGTCAACTGCTCCATCATTTCGCCTTCTAACGATTTTCGGAAGGCGACTAAATTTCACTGCAGAATCCTTTTTTTGTGAACTTTTTCCACTATTGTTGCCACAGCCAACGATAATACACAGAACCATGGTAAGAGAAACCCATATAAGATTGATCTTTCACAGTTTAAATCGATAAATACAGCTGTAAATACAATAAGTGACCAGCTCACGCTTTCTTTCTTGGGACACCAACATGGCGGATAGTAAGGTTGCTAGGAAACCAAGTCACGTGAGTGAAAACACTCTATACCAAGTAGGGCTTGCCCGTGAACCAGCGTCATTTTGGCGGGAAACATGAGTGCATTCTACTACGAGTCTTAGCGAGAATGTCGTGGTAACGGGAACAAGTTATAAAGTGTTAGAGGCCTTATCATTTTACGGCCGGGAGATGGCCTAAGCTCCTTCAGTAAAGATAAAAGTGCTAATTTTTTGTTGAAGAAGTGCAATGAAGCTATCCGGGGTGTCTATAATTTGAGAATACGCGAATATACTTTAAGTCAAATCTTGTACTCGTAGTCGTTCTCGTCCTAGAATATAAGTCTCTAATGTGTCCGGTCAATGTGCTCGAGCGATTCGTCTCGGCAACGTCAAAGAAATGAAATGACCGAGAACGCCTGGGGATACGCTGCACAGGGAAGGGACTGTGAGTAATCCAGAGTATTTAGTGAAGCTCTCTTAATCAGTGCGCTTTCATTGGTCAATTACTCACAATTGCTAGTAAGTGAATGCTGGCAAAAGCTAGCGCGCGCTCGGAGCACTTCGTTCCAAGTTATACAGTAAGATGTCGCGTTTATTAGCAGTGATGAACACTAAATCTTACTACTTTTTGATAGGGTCTTAATGATTGTTTATTTTTTTCTTTCATTAGGTGATGCGATCAAACTAAGAAAAATGACATATATTAAATTTGATTTTATCAAAACTCATTTTCATATGCATTCTAACTTCCGGCTCAACATTAAAAGTTGAAGGGGTTAAATGTTAAAGAAACTGTTCTGTTAAGCGGTGGGGAAGTAAAAAAAGGTTTTATTACTGAGTTGATAAAAAATTCTGTCCAAAAGCCGAAGAATATTGAGATTTAGAACCCTTTTTTAAGTCAAAAAGAAAACAATAAACATCAATTTAGTTAGAAAAAAAATTCTCCAAGTATTTTTTCTGGGGCTTTTAAGGTTACAGCCGGCCCACAAATACCTCATAATTGGCAGGTATTATACAGAAAACAAAACGCACAACAATAGGAAACTATTTTTTCTTTAAATAAGAAATCTGTGTATCTTTAGTTCGACGACTCAACTATAATTTTTTTCAATACGATAGTCGCAATTGCGAATTAATAAGGAAAAGTTTTTAACGATGGCTTCTACGTTTCTTTATCTTATGTCGAATAACGAAATATCACGAGTGTCGGTAACCAGGAAGTTCTCAAACAGCGCCTTCAGTCGAGTCCAAAAACTGAATGAGAACAAATCACTTCTTGAAGTAAAAATGAAATGGTTGGTCCCAGATACTGGAAGCCAGGATATAGGAGCTGGATGTTATATATTAAATTGCGATTTTCGTATAGAGATTCAATGTACTGTGGATATTATCGTTGCGATTGGATAAAAATGTAATAACAGTCTATTTCGTAGTTAATCTTTTCCTAGACAGCTGACGTCAAGCTCACGCTGATTACAAATTAACCTGAACATTTTTTAAACTGTCTCCTCTTGGTTGTTCTACCAATATGTCGTGCTTGCCATCAAATACAACGTTTTAAATTATATCTTTTACTTCGGCAGCTCGTGATCTTTAAGCGACGTCATGAATTTGTTCCTGTTGAAGTTATTTGTTCTTTATTGCGGTGTCATGAAGGTTGTGATCTTAAACTTGGCGGACTTCGCTACCGCTCAGGTGGACGAAACTTCAGGTAAGGAAGTTGCTACTTTTTAAATTAAGTTTTAAATTACAAGTCTACGTTTTTCTGGGAAATCAGGCCGATTTTTTTTGGGTCAACTTTGTTGACGTAAACAGCGTAGGATTGCTTTGGATTATTTTAGGTGGTCTTATCATGTTTACAAGAAGTCGCTTTACTTAAAAATGGCTTACAGCCATTACATACGATAAGCAAAATTGCAGTTACGTTACAATATGATCCCACATTAAAAGGCCATTCACGCACAGTTTCCTTGTGCCTCAATACCATTTTGCTTGTTTAGTTTTTGTCAAACCATGTCAGTATTTTTTTCAATCCTTTAAAATCCCCTGGCGAAGTTAATCGTATTCTGAACAGACAATTCTATTTTCCTAAGAAAAAATGATGCGATTTTAAATCTGAAAATTCGATGTTCATGACTGGGGCTATGTATTTCTTTTTCTTTTTTTCTTTTTATCTAACTTTCATGCAGCAATCATTTTATAAAATTAGTAGACATCTTTCAAGCGCCTTGAAATACGTTCGACACTTCAAGCGTGAAAATTGTCTGCAAACTAGGTTGTCTTTAATATTTAATGATATAAAAACATCGCAGTTACTAACATATAGCGTGCCAGAAATGTAGACAAGTTACAAATGACTATGGCAACAAATTGATTTCATGAGAGGTGTGTTGGTTTGGATTCAAGAACTAGAAATTTAGAAACACTATAACATCCTGATAACTCAATTTTCCTTAGAAAATGAGGCCTCTTTTTTTTTAGTTTTGCCCGTGGGTTTGTTTTAATGAATGCCGCTACTCCACTGGCGGGCTTTATTAAATAAAACCTCCATGATTTATTTCGATCTGAGAAAAAAAACAATTAGGAAAAGTACATGTCTTTCGTGAAAGAAATTTTATTCCAAAAATTAGCTTTAACTTATATAGATAGCATTTGAAACGTAACAGCAGATAGAGTTCCGTTGTTAGTCATTCTTTCGGGATCTAACTGTTCGCGCATCATAATTCGAGCGATATTGAAAATTATGATGGTCGCAGTTGACTATGAAATAAATGTCTGTATTCGAATTCTCGCTTGGAGGAATATGCGACATTCAAGTAACAAACACTTGGAGAAAAAATTGGGTCAAATGATCAATTACCTTTGTGTCAGATTTTTCATCTCGGTTACTCCTGAGGTATATTTTGGCTAGTTTCGTGGTCAACAGCGAATCATCGCTTTACCGCGGGAAATCTGGAATACATTTATAACTCTATTTTAGGTTATGAAGGAAATTATATACTTCGACTGAAAAGGAAACCAGTCAGAGTGTACGACAAAACTGTGAGTTGTTCAAATCTGTCATTTACATCTGCTTTGGGAAGCTTTTGCTCTCTGACGAATGTAAAACTCGCAATAAACGCCATTTTTACTGACGTTGAAAGCAGTTTTTTAAATGTCCGGCTGTTTGGTTGCCCTTCGCGTTACAAACTGGTCATGCCTTTACAAGGGAAATATATATGGCTTACAAAAGTACTTTTATCTTTATTCAAAATCATACATCATTCTATCAAGAAAACATTTTTCAACCTTTTAAAAATTAAATAGAAAAAATCTTTAAAATTACTTTAAATGCATATCCGCGACTGCCTTAAAATAGAATCTGTTTTGACTATATTCCTTTTATATCGGTAAGCAGCTTTATTTGAATCAAGTGACATTTTTAAAAGAAATACGTAAGGTCTTGCCATAAAACGGCTCTGTTCACGAAATCTATTAGCAAAATTGCTTTCGTATAGTGAGATAGGAGGTCATTTATCTGAACGATGGGGAGAAAACTATAGCTTTCCGTAACTTTCGCATGACCTTGGTTTTTTGCGCTTTAATACGCGGTTTGAATTTATTTAACATACATATTAGAAACTCGTCATCAACATAAACGACGTTAAATTTAGACGTTTGATATGGAGTAGCCTTACTTCAGTTTTGCTTTCGTGAAACAGCGGGGATAAATACAAATTAGTTTTTGTTATACACATTTCACACGTGGGAATAATATTAAAACCGTCCGTGTTCTTGTTAAACCTTTTAATTCTCTGCATGGAAGAAAATTAAGGTCGACGCTCAAATATTCGTTTTTACTATGAACACCTTTCAGTCGGAAACTCATATCGTCAAAAACGTCGGCTTTTTACAAAATTTCATTATTTAACATCCACGAAGACAAATTCTAATGTAAAAATGTTCCTTCTGGCGCCGCGTGGCTTTTAAGTGTTAACTGAAAAATAATTGAGTTTGTTTCAACATTTTTCGAATATGCTAAAATTGAGATTGATCTGTTAGCGTTAATTCTTTGAAATAGTTTTCAAGGTGTTGTTATGTAATCTGATAAAACTAAAAACGCAATGGCTTGTATTTGCTTTTTAAGGATTTAAATGGCAAATGGCGCAGTATTTGAGTTGACATACACAGGTTTTATTGGTACTAAAAACTGAGTTATTAAACATATCGATTTCCTATAAGAAGTTGTATAATTTATGTTTTTCGCACGCTTATTTTGGTCAAATTTCTTTGGAATTTTCTTTTCGTAGAACCTAGCTAGTAAGATATAAATTCAATGTTTAACAACGATAGAAGTGAAGTCTCAGTAGTAAATTCTCTTGCTGTACGCGCAGGTCGTATTCACGATTTCCAGCGCGATAAGAGAGATAAAAATTGTGCAATTTTCCAGGTAAACAAGGCATTGTTTTAACCCTGCCAACATACGTATAGTTTAATTGTCGCCTCCTTTATTCACCAAGCTCTCGTCTAGAACATTTTCCAATTTTAACGGAACAAAATATCCCCCTTGCGACCTAATGTCAAAGAAAAAGGGAGTTTGCCGACTTCTGGTTCCTTCTGGTTCAAATCAGAAGAACCGGTTTTTGAACTAAATAGCTGAGTACTGGTGGAAAGGGGTTTTACTCTTCAGCAAGACTACCCGGATAAGAAAAAAGAACAAAAGGTGTCAGTTTCTTGAGTCAGGAAAAATCAGTATAATTTTGTTCCATCTTATATATTATAAAGCGAATGAGCAATTTTTGGAGCTCAAACGAGGCCTTAACTTCACGGTTTGATATGGACACTGAATATGGTTGAGTTCGATTTGGAAATCCGGTTTCGGATTTTGCAATCGAACGCGAAATCCGAAAACAGATTTCACCTTCGAGAAATCAGTCCTCAGGGTGGATTTCATTAACAAATCCAAATCCGGATCTCATGGATTTCCTTTTTACCGTTTGATTGGGAAATCCGTAAAAGGATTTGCAAAACTGTTCTCGTGAACAGTGGTCTTGTTTTTGCTAATTATGCGTGCGCGTGCGAGAACGCTGTTCTTAAGGGCAGTTTTTCAAATTCTTTTTCAGATTTCCCAATCTAACGGTAAAAGAAAATCCAAAAACTGATATCTCAGCCTTGAAATCTGGTTTTGGATGTCGCGTTCGATTGCAAATCCGAAATCCGGATTTTAAAATCTAAATCCAGTTTTTCCGATCGCACCCCGGCACCCTATATCGAAAAGACATGGGACAATATACCATCGTATAACCTGGCATTTCATCAGTTTATAAAAACACCATCTTTGCTGACTTTTGCAAAGAAAATTACCTCAGAAAAAAGATATAATGCCACAGTACGACGACGACGACGAGACGCGACGACGCGAGACACGAGACGCGACGCCTGCATACGGTCTCGTCATGGGCACAATAGTCTCTTACGCTAAAATAAAATTAAATACTCGTGGAGAAACGGAAATAAGTTTCAAATTGCTCAGATTTCGACAGATTTATGTCAGTATATGAAAGTCAAACAGAGGCGAAATAAGGTCAATAGATGAAGAGAATTCTATGATACGGGAAGGAAATATTCCATTGCTAAGATAGTGCACTGCAAGTGGAAAGTTGAAACTTTCTGTCTTAAACTTTGTATTTATCTCTGCAAGTATACGTAGAACACTCCATACGCAGAGCACTCCTGCTCTGTGATAAGTGATAAGTGAAGCAGTCTGCGTTGTGTATTCTCTTTTATTATTTATGCAAAATATTTTGCCGTTTCTGATTGGCTCAAATCCCCCGGCTAATTCTTCATAACTAACCGGCGCGTTGATCAAATTTGGACGAAGAGAGCAATATATCATTCATTCGTGGAAACGAGATTGATCGATTGATGGTATATTTGCCTGGAAAAAGGCTAACGGTGAAGTAAAAAGTGGCTGAGTTAAAGTAGCTGAATTTCTGACTTAAACTGAAGTGAAAAAATGCAAGAATAGGCAGAAAATATTGGTCGATGAATGTTAAAATTTTAAAGTACGTCCTTTGGGGCTAAGCTTGTTAAGAACTTAGAAATATTTTGAACGAATAATAAAATAATTATTGAATTCGACTGTCGAACGATGTAAAGATTTACGCTGATCTCTCGGAGGCGTATCCCCCCCGCAGACGTCCTTTTTGCGTGACAAACGAACCGCAAAGGACGTCTCTGGGGAGGCTATCGGAGGCGGTTTTCCACCTCAGCCATAACATTCTCTTAGATCTGCATAATTCTTCACGTCATACTCAGCCTCATTCAATAATTTATAAAATGTGTATTCTGTTACATCTCATATACATAATATATTTCTGAGGAAGCAATTTTTTTGTAAACGCTAATACAGGTTTTTAGAATATTCGAGAAATACTCAACACTTTATTCAGTTTACATTCCTAACTACAAGACAAAAATGTTTGTTGATATTCTGGTCCTTGTGCTTTACAGAATACAACACTGGAAATGAAACCCACGAACGACGATTGCTAAATCAGATCATATATGATAACAAGAATCGCCGCCTTTTTCGACCGGTCATGGATCGCTCAAAACCAATAATCGTCGGGTTCAGTGCGGAGTTAATTGGCGTAGCTAAAGTGGTGAGACTATAACATAAGACAAACAATACATTTGAGTAGCCTGCGAATACAGCCGTTTCTCCTTGCTCCTCCCCGCTAAGGACGTTTCGATAGGAGGAACTTCTGCGACTAATTGACAGAAATTCCATACTGATGACGTGAAATCTGTCTGAATCTGGTTAGGAGCTCTGATTGGTCGTCATAGCAGTTATATTGTTTAAGCTATTGTTTACGAATGCAGATAAAAGGCTACAAATGTCAAATGTAAACGTGATCCCATGACTACCTGATTTATTATGCAAACATTGATTTACGTCATGCAGTATGACATTTCTGTCGGTGAGTCAGTCGCAGACGTTCCTCCTGGCGAAACGTCCCTTGTGACGAGGAGCAAGGAGCAATGGCTTTATTCGCAGGCTAGTGTATAGAGTAAACAGATATGACTTTCGTTACATGGACGTTCGATTGTTTTTAGTCTCTCATTAATTAAGAGGATTATACTCCACTTGGAACAACAGTTAACTCTCTCTGAGACAGGCACTAATTAGCGTCAGTGTGAGAGAAATGTCCGTCTTAGAGAGAGTCAAATATGGGGAGTAAAAAAAGGCAAGGATCAACTCTAGTTGCCCGTTTTACAGAGCCCGGTGTCCGTTTTATACAGGTGTCGATCCGTAAAGAGAGAGTCGACTGTATTGGTTGGACAGTTTGAAATAAGTCATGCCACGAGGGGCATATTCTTTCAGAAAGAAAAAAGGTCCCTCTTTTGTATATACCGCTTTATTTAAATATATCAAGAATGCAACTAGTACGTGGTCTGTAAACTTCCTGCTATTTTCCTCACTTTACTTATGGACAAACGTTAGAATTGGCCAGCCTCCTCACAGTACAATGCTCTGACTGATACGGTATGGGCTGAGTATTATGGCAGAATACTTTTAATTTCATTACTCGACTAATTGGGTTATTTTGTTACATTTTATAGGATGAAAAAGAACAGTTGATCAAGACGCATTTTTGGGTCCGCCAGGTATTGAAATTGTTCTTAATTCAGTCTAAATGTATTTCGGTTTCGTTCTGGTCTTCAATTGTTCCAATTTAAAAATTGTGTTTTTTTTTATCATCAGCATCAGTCATCATTATCTTTCTTAATCATTACCGTTATTATCATTATTTTTTTTATAGCTAATAGACGCCTTCACGCTTTTAACATGTCTGTACAGCCAACTTTGATTTCTTAGCACAGATCAAGGAGGTCGGATACCTCATGAACCCTACACACATTAAGAAAACCCTGTCTTAACTTTCAGTTAAAGTCTTGAGGGAAAGTGAAGAAAGTGGAAATTTTAAAGCGTCTGAATGGAGTCAGGGAGGCTTCAGGGAATCCGGCTTACTACTCTTACTTACCGTAAATCCTCTATTAACCCTCCCCCCCCCCCCCCCCCCCCCCCCCAAAAAACCCCCCTTTTTAGGGAAAAAAAATATAAAAACCCCCCCCCCCTTTTTCCCCCCCCCCCTGTCCCCCCCCCCTGAACATCTTTGCTTGTAAAATGGGCAAGCTTCTTAAAATTTAGTATACTCTCACCTGAAAATTTGCGGTTTTTTTTAAAAAAAACTAAGGGGGGCGAGAACCCACAAAACCCCAACACCATAAAAAAAACCCTTTTTATAATTTTAATAAAAAGTTTTGGGGAAAAGAGAAAAAGGGGAAATTTTAAAGGGCTGTAAGGGGGGAGGGGGGGGTTTGGGGAACCGCGGTTTTATTCTTTTTTTCCCCAAAAACCCTTTTTACCCCCCCCCCCCCCCCCCCACCGCCCTCTCAATAAGCCCCTCTTTTAAGGGAAAGAAAGTTAATAAGCTCCCCTTCTCTTTTACGCCCCCCTCTGATCCCCTCCCCTTGAAATTCTTTGCTAGTAAACTGGTAGACTTTATTAATCATTGACAATCTCGACTGTAAAACTTCGGTGGACTGATCCGGGATGGTTTATTCACCAACTGGAAGTTTGGATTTGTTTTTGATCCTCGGCTGCTTGACCTACAACTTCTTGTACTTGAGCTTTTCCATTTTGTGTTTTTGTTCTTTATAGTAAATTATTTCGTTTAGCCTTTTGACTAACTTGTCTCCCCTTCTTCTTAATTTCTTTACTAAATAAGCTTTTATTGGCTCCTTAAAAGGCAATATTGAATACTGTCATGAACTGTCCAACCTCCTTTTGAGCTAGAGAATTTAGACTCTACATGTCTCTTTATTGCAGGATTGGTTTAATCCTTACATGACATGGAAACCAGGGGATTTTGGTGGTATCAAGGAGGTTCATGTTCCTCCTGACATGCTTTGGGTACCTGATATCATTCTTTACAACAAGTAAGTTTTTTTTAAACTTTTTCCACTTCTGCAATCAGTTCGTTGCCGTGAATTTTACTTGTTTTGGTTCTTTAGTGCCCTCACTTGCTCTTACTAAGTTTCCCAGCGCTACTGGAATGCCATGTTATAGCACAGTTAAACCTTGTTCTTTAACCCTGAAAATACTTAAGTTGAGTTATTCAAAAGTATTTTTCCATCATTCAGTTGACTTGTGCTAAACTATCAATGTATTCAGCGTTGAGTGTTAATTACGATTATTCATGCTAATTGACCATGAAAAGAAGGATAAAATTGTGCTCCTCTCAAAAAAGGATTAAAAACAGTCTGATTAAGGCTCTGTTTCAGTAAATTCCGGTCACTTAGAACTCTTCATCTGTTTTCTAGTGGTTTTGTCCTGAAAGTGCTTTTTTGTTTCCTGTCTCTCCTCCGCAAAGGCTCCCGCGAGGTATTCCAATAAAATTAGCAGTAATATTTAAAAAAGGCAAGCACCCGCTGGACGATGGAAAGAGCGGGAAAAATAGGGTTAGCAGGAGCCCTTAGCGGGCGGCTTGCCCTCTTTTCCCTACCTATCGACCCTCGCGCACTTTATTTTTTCCCTCTTGGCTTGGTACACTTTGGTACGTAAACACTCGCTGCGAAGCAAAATGGACCAGTCAGAGAGCCGCTTTGAAACAATGCCTAACAACTGCTGTTCCCAGTCTCCCAAGGATACAAAGAGGCCTCTGCGGATTATAGGGAGTGGTTTCCCTTTGAAAGGCTAATATTGGAGGCCTTCCTATTAAGACAAGTATTTGAGAAACTTTTCAATGCTTTTCCTTCTCTCACTACAGTGCCGATGATCGCCTCGTGTTAAAAGCCTCGTCTGGTTATTTAACTAATGTTAAAGTACGTCACAATGGTAACCAAACATGGCGGGCTCATATCATCTACAAGAGCATGTGCAATATCAACGTCAAGTATTTCCCGTTTGATGAGCAGATATGTAAATTAGTATTCGCCTCTTGGTCACAAGACGTCAGTGTCCTTGACTTGAGAGCGAGGCGCGTTGCTAAGAAAGAAGAAGGGTCAGACGTGTTCCAGGAAAACGAGGAATGGACCGTCGAGTGGATCAATATTGAGCGTAGCGAGGTTTGTACATGTTCACATTCAAATATATCGTATGGCATTGGCTGGCTTAGCCTGTATGGGAGTTTAAAGGGCGAATCAGTTACGTCACGTTGCCATGGTAACGAAATTTTTGGAGCGCAACAAAACTTCAAACTTCATTGCTTTTATTTAACTTCATGCAATTCGTCAAGGGTTGACGAAATTTTCTGGGTTTGAATCCGAAAGAAGAACTGTATCTAAGTTTAGAAAAAGGAAATTGCTTGTATTCATGAACTCCCCTGAGCGGACGCTTGAAATTAGGAAGTTTCATGTCGTAGTCGTGCAATGACGGCTAAGAGATGTACAAAAAAGCGTGATGCACGTGCAAAGTAGTATTTTGCTAATGGAAACCTCTGCCGTTCTCGTTCCCTATTGTTGTTAACCAGAAATTTTGCCGCCAAGGTAACGTGACTTCACACTTCTCCCTCTATTGAGCTAAGTTGTGCAACTACCAGATTTACTTGAATAAACACTGCAGCGCTTAGTAAAAAGTCTTAGCGTCTCTGATGATGCGGCTTTTATTTTTAAACTCTTTGATGTTGACAATTACGTCAAATCATTTGTAAATATTGTGAAAAACAGAAAGGTGCTGAAAGTTCCAAAGTCTCCCCCTTTCTGCTAATATACTTGTATTGTAGATTACCAAGTTGTGACGAGTTTATTTTTTTGCCATAACCCTCGAATAAACGCTGCATATCATTGCTTCGATAAGGCGTTCATCCGAGGGCGGAAGTTAATTGAGTAACGTTAAATAAAGCTCAGGGTTGGCGAGAGAGGGAGAAGGAAAGATTCCCTTCGCCCCCTTAATTTCGTGTCCATCGCGTGTGCGCGCGCCTTTATTTCCTTCCGATAAACGCCTGCCACGCAGGCCATAAATTGCTAAAACAGAGTTTGAAATTAAACACTTACATTATCACCGTTAGGGTAGTATCTTAAGTGATCAAGTAAGGCCCATGATCTAGGCTTCCTAAACACGATACTTTAATAAAAAAAAAAACAGAACAGTACTTTAATAATCACAGTATTTAAAGTTGACGTCAGATACAGTAGAACCTCGATAACTCGAACGTGGATAACTAGTGCTCGAATTCCCCGCTAACTCGAACTACATTTCCTTTCCCTTGATCAAAATTTTACTGAAAATGACCCTGGTAACTCGAATTCTACGCTATCTCGAACTGTTTTTCGTTTCCCCTCAGAGTACAGTTCGAGTTACTGGGGTTCTACTGTATTTCTCTATTGTGCTTAAGTTTAATTTGGTACATTGCCACTTGCAAACAGTTCATTCGTAATTTCGCTTTTATCTTCTTGTTAGTGTGCCGAGCCTAAAATTTCATGAAAAAATTTCCGCTGAAGATTGAGCGTGCAAACATCTTCATACCTAAGGTAGTACTTTTTCAGATTGTATCGATTTTTCTGACCTGTACTGTTTTCAATTTTCCTTTTATTGTAGAAGGAAAATGACTGTTGTGATTTACCCGTGGCGGAATTAACCGTATCCATGCTTCTCCAGAGACGCACGTATTATTACGTCATGAGCCTTATCTTGCCTTGCACACTCATTGCTTGTACCATTTTCTTGGAGTTCATTCTTCCAGCAGAGTCAGGCGAACGAGTAGGCCTGGGCATAACTATTTTGCTCTCGATGGCTGTATTTCAAGAACTTACGTCAGAGAAGTTGCCTTCAAGCTCCGAGCATTTTCCTCTGTTAGGTAAGTGTCCTGTAATGCTTACATAAAATTCGTGCGCACTTTTTGGCACGGCGCTATTTTTCTTCCGTATTTGGTGAACTCCCTTCTGCCGAAGGCCAAGAGTTTGTGTTTGAAGAATATCTGCAAGACTAAGCATCCCTTGATATTCCTGAATTTTTCGAGGAACAGGCCAATGGAGACGGGAACTTAACTTTTATTTAGTTTGTTTTAAAAGTATGAATTATTTCCAATTAAAAATTATTACTGAGATTCTGCTGTCGAATGATCTCCATAATTCTTCAGTACATGCTCAGCTTCATCCAACTTCAACTTCACGTTATCCGAAAGGCTGTTTCTGAATAATCAGGACATTAAACTTAAGGTCCCGGAGCTTAATTAAAGGAGGTTTTCATCTTAAGACACAAAGAGCCCTGTTTGGGCGATCACACAACCAATAGGAAGTGATAGATGACCGTAGATTATTCCAAATTTATTTTGGCGACAAGTCGTTCGGTGCAAATGCGAAGCCGAAAGGGCGATGGGACATAATTTGCCTACAGAAGAAGAGCGTCATTATTCGATAGGGGCGTTAATTCGAGAGGGCATTTAGTATTGATTTTCGGTATTCTAATAATCCCTAATACGTTATTCTTTCCTTATAGCCATGTACTACTCAGTTTCAATCATGGAAATAGGAACGGCCCTAGGAGCCACTTGTATCATACTCAACTTTCATCACCGTAACACTAAGATGCCGAACTGGTTTCACAAGATCGTTCTTGAGTGGCTGGCAAAGCTGGTCTGGTATAAACCCCGTTACCTCCACTGTCACCTCACCTCCGAATCAGAAGATGAAACTGTACAAACAAAGCTTCAAACCAACTCAGGCTCTGAGAGAAAACGAAACGACGCTTTCGACCTCGACAGGGAATCTATCGAGTTTGAGATGGACCTTTTTGATGAATCTCGCGGGGGACGCGATCAGGTGCCCTTGGCTCAAAATGGGAACCTTTCTGTTCCGGCGAATAACGGTACTAGGAAACGCTCTATTAGACGGAAAACGCAAGACACTGAGACCGAGACAAGTGAAGTGCAGTTTCCTGAAACAAGGTTTCCGTTTTATGACGTTAACAAAGAAGAAATCTATAAGAAACAGTGGCAGGATGCAGCGAGAATTTTAGATCGATTTTTGCTTGTGGCCTCCTTTGTTATCGGTTCCATCTCAGCTATGAGTATTTTCTTGCAGTCTCCGCGAATAAGAGGACTGTTTATTCCCTGACAAAAGGCCTGAACCAGTTGTTTCGAGACACTCAGTCATAACGTCTTGTCTGATCTGGTTATGAAACACATCTTGAATGTGATGGTTAGTGTTGTAGCTTTGGCCATGGACCCTGTTGGCAATGTTGTATCCATTTTAAACAACAGAGCAAACAGTACGTATAAGCGTGCAAAGACAAAAAAATTGCCAGAAATGTTTGCACAAAGTAAAATTAAACTGCCGGAAATATTCGCCCTCTGCTTGAGGACACGCAGTTCATTTACACAACTTTATGTCGACTCATGTTTGAACTGAAAAAGTATCGTTGTCATGTTGATAACTGAACTTGTTACAGAATCGTTTACAAGCTGATGAAACATTACATTACTCCACAAACTGATGAAGCTATGAGGCCGCGCCAATGAATCACACAGTTTCCAGGTGTTTCGCAAAACTGCACCATAAATATCGGTGGATATTGATTAAAAAACCTTTCTGGCCTTATCAATGGGAAGTTTAGTCAATCGTTCACGGCCTTTCTTTTTCTTGTGCGCGGAAAAGGAGAAATGTCACCTCTCAAGTTCCTTGTTTCCAGATAACCCTGTCGTCAGACTTAAAAATCAAACTTAAGACTGAAATGAGATTAATGGTTTTCCTTGGGTTGTCATGCCTGTACAAATCCCCACAATTTCCAGTCAAAAGAATATCATGCATTCACATATTTTAGAGCCTTAGTGGGATACACAGTTCTGTGATCTGGGATTTACAGACCAAAGTTCATTCCTTTACTTCCAGACAATGAAGTCATAATCCGGTCATAGTTCAGTAGTCCAGTCCACAGTCAACTGCATAATAGGGCCATTTATACGAGGAAAAATAAGACGCGTCTTACATAGGACGCGTTTTAAATAAGACACGAACTTTCCGTATAAACGGCACATTTCGTCCAAAATAAGACGCGGCTTAGCTAAGACGCGTCTTATTTTAGAACAGCCCTTAACACCTGTTCTTAGATAAGACGCGTCTTAGCTAAGACGAGAAAAACCTCGTATAAATGACCTTCGCGTCTTACATAAGACGCGAACCCATAGTACGCATATTTTGGCGCGCCACGTTGGATTGCCGTTGCTACGGGCAACATTCACATGAAAACGAGTCAAGAACAGAAATAAGACGCGAACCATTTATACGAGCTATTCTCGTCTTAGATAAGACATGCTCGTATAAATGGTACAGTTCGCGTCTTATTTTTTCTCGTATAAATGGCCCTAATATTTCTTTCTGATATGTCGCGTGAAGTCATATCGACAGATTTTACCCAGTGCACAGCGATCTGGACAATCATCGCAGACAAGTGCACCTAGGAGACCTAGCAGTCTGATTTGGAAACTAAATAGTTTAACACAAGAGAACATAATGATTAATGATACCGTAAAATTGCGAAAATAAGCCCCTCCAAATATAAGCCCCCCAAACTCGTTTTGCAAAAACCCCTCCGTTAAATCGCCCGTCCAAATATTAGCCCCCCGGGGGGCTTATACTTGGAAATTGCCCTCAAATACAAAGTAAAATAAAGCAAAAACGGTAAATTTCCTTCCAACTATGAGGCTAGCCAAATCGATTTTGAAACGCAAATTTCCCTCCGTAGATAAGCCCCTCCAAAAATAAGCCCCTCAAAAAGGGCCTTTGAAAAATATAAGCCCCTGGGCTTATTTTCGGAATTTTACGGTATCTTTTTTCATAGTAAGACAATTTTATCGAATTCTGATAGGTGTCAAACTTATGCAGCTCCATTCCCTAGATTAACCAGGTTCTCTGAGGAGATAAAAAAAAAGATTTTTTCTTGCTAAATAAGATAAATAAGATAACTATTTATGTTTATGAGATTCCTAGCAAAGCCTCAGGCGTAAAAAAAAGATATGTGCACGTAGGCCAGTAGCTGCTAAATAAATTTTAAGGCTTTAACTTTATAGGTGTCAAGTGCCTGTAGGGGCATACTGGGGGGTTAAAACAAGAGAGTATGAAACCTCTCTTCCGGGTCAAAATTATGTGAGACATTTAGGTTAAAACTTGTTGTAAAAGTTTCTTCCTTTTTTTACTCTCTATGATGTGGTTCTTATTTTGACACGAATAATTTCCTCCCCTTACGACAAAAATACGCTTTTCCTAGGCAAAATATAACTAATTAATCAGAAGGATACAGAATCGATGCGACATTTTTCGACGCTAGTGCAATTTCATCATTACCCCCACGACAACCCCCCGTTGTCCAACGAGGACAATGCAGCCAAAATATGGCATATGAGCCTGCGATCAAGCTCTCCCTCCCTTCCTTTAACCCTAGCTCCCAAGCTCTTTCCCTCAGAGAATTGTACGAAGAAAACAAGGATATGACCCCAAGTGTATTCACTATAATGGCCTACCATGGAGGCTCCGCCAGAAAGGGGTTACTTTTTTAGGCTTTAGGTACATGGAGGGGTAGGGATTTCACAAATTGAGGTCAAATATGAAAGGAAAAGGAAATCACTGTGTATTTACAGATGTTTAAAGGGATACTGTGTGAAAGGGGATTTTTTTGGCAATAGAGGGTAATGATGTCCGAAAGGGCTTCAGGTGCCGAACATCCAATTACCGGATTGCCTTTCGGGTGGAGCTTCCCAGTATGGGTTACTATACGGGAGTACTGACCCCCCCCCCTCCCCGCCCGCCGCCCCCCTCGCCTGGGATATGATCGCAAGCTAGAACGACGGAGTGATCTTCTGTGATTTAATCAGTGGTTATTAAAACAACCTCTAGAAAAGCGCCCTGGGGAAGAGGTTGTTGTTAAAAGAGGGCTTCAAAAACCGATATAAGATTCGGCGAAAAAAAAAAAAGAAAGACGCACACACTACCAAATCCGCTAGTGTATGGTAAGTAGTTTCGAGTGCTCACACCCTTGCCATGATCACCTAGTGAGACACTGAAAAGCGTAACATCAACTATACAGACCTCAAAGGGGCAAAACGAAGGGATAAAGTCTTTGAGAGCCGGTACGGTAACACTTTATTTCAAACTTTATTTTTACTTCTTAATTGAAAGATCATTACTTCCTTGCAAAAATAATCACAAACCTCTGCTAAGCATGTTTCGTATTCAATACAAACGCCATTATTGAATTCTAGTACCCGGATTCCCAACTCGCATAGTATGTTTGCGCCACCTGTGGTCAGAAAGGTACGAGGTTGGGTTGTCTGTGGTAAAAACTGTGATCGAGGTCCTCCGGAAAGGAACTGAACACCTCATGTTTGTCATTTCTGTTACTATTTTTATTGGTTTTTCAAGTACACAGATGAAGGCCAAAGGTTAAAATAGCATTTTAAAACCAACGTTGGGTGATTGGGTGATCACGAGGGATGTTGGTCACATGAAAGCTCTCTTTCGAAACCCTCAAGAACAAATCTTTTTTTTTTCCGTTTTGATATGTACTGAATTTATAGTAATATGGAACGTTCACGTTTAAGCGAGTCTTGTACTCATCCGTGTAATGTGGATAAATAAAATACCTACCTACCTACTTAAATCTTATGGGCATTGACTAGTCGTGAGGAGTGATAATATATGGCAGCAAAGCATCACGGTTTATCAGTTATTTTGCCATTTTGGTTACATCCTATCCTATTTCTGGTTTACATAAAAATGTTAGAAAGATAAGTTCGTTTAACTGTGAGGCTACATACGAGTATTCAGTTTTGCACGCAATTGCGTGCATGCCCCTTCACCGCAGCCAGTCGTCGTATGCGCCGAGTTTAGTCACGTACAAAAACACGTCTTTTTGCACGATTTTTTTCTCGAAGGTCTTATGACACCCTTGATCCTCAAAAGCCGCCGCGTAAAATTACATGTATACTATCCACACCCACACGACCCACGCGGCTGTGCATGTGCCCCTTCCGCCCGCAATCTATGAATGACTACGAGAATTTTCTCTTTAATTTGCATCACTGTGATAGCCGATTGGGGTAATCATCTCCTGTTTTTTTCTTTCTTTTTTTCTCTCTTTGTTTTGAAGTTAGCATTTTAATCTAATACGAAAGCATAATTCTGTATTTCCCTAGAAAATAAATGCAGATACACTCAACTCTAGCCAAGTTTCCAAAAATTAAAATGTGCCAACTGTTGTTGTCACGAACAAAAATATGCATGACGTTTCTCTTTGGCCTTTGGGCGTCGTTATGGTAACTCAGGTTTTTTCCCAGCATGCAACCAAGGTTCTTTCTCTTCAACACCCTTCTGAGAAGTTGGTGTGCGGTTTGAGGAAAAGCGACACTAATCATAATCAAAACATGTTGTTCTTTTAAAAGCATCCGTTGCTTTTCGAGGGGATAACTTAGAATCGCTTTTTCTATCAAAAGACGTTTCCTCAAGAAGCTACACTGAAATCTGCAGGCTTAAAATACAGCACGTCCGGCAGACACACCCGTTCAAATTCGCCATATTTATTTGCAGTCTACAACAACCTTGCGGCGAAAATATTGATCAAATACAAAGTTGGGAGTAAGCTTCTTTGGGAAACAACCACAGATAATTTCTTCTTTCGAGAAAGAACGATTGAGAGCGATGTCAAGATAGCAGTGAGTTCTCAAGAAGCTAGGTTTGCATCTGTGTAGTTCGTCAAGTAGCGCGCTAAAGTTCGCGTGGTCAACAGAGTAGCTGATTCAAGAATCAACTTCATCAGAGGCCTCAACGATGAGCTCTCGCACTGGAAAGCACTTTAGGAATGAGAAGGATCTAATAATTCACGACAAAACTGGAAGGGTAAGCTATTATCTTGGTATTGTGTTCGCTGGTTCGTTTCTTTTCGTTCCTTTTCGTGACTCCACGAGATTCATTCAAAAGTTGTAAGCTTAAGCTTGAATACAAATCCTTTGTCAAAGCTTGCCATTCACTCGTAAATGTATTTTTTTATTTGCAGATTTTGATATCCTGGAATCGCTTTGCAAGATCTCTTAAAGAAGCTTTTGAACTATATTGGGAAACGAAACAGGTATGGAGGCAGAGCGAGAGAGTGAAACTGTTTTTATCATTAGATGATTTTACGATTGAACTCTGGAAGTTTATCTGCCACAACTTTTCAGCCTTTTTATTCTTAGTGACTACTTTAGTGTACGTTGTACGAATATATGTTTGTTTCTTGCCTTCACAGGACAAGATATAGATTTTTCATGGTTTAGATTTCAATCGAATTCATTCGTTAGTATCTTGTCGATTGTGAAGTCCTTTGTATTTGTCAACGATGCGTAAAATTTATTCAGCTTTCTCTTGAATAATTGATAACTTGTGGCTGTTAGTTTTCTCTATCCTAATATTTCAGTCTCAAGCTCTAGTTGTAATCTTAAATAGCAGAGTTAGGAAATTCATCACGTTGTCGCTACATAAGCTCATATAATTTCGCAATGTTGTGTTTTGCGCAACGCATGGTTGCTTGCGGAAAACGGTAGGTGGCACAGAACTGGAGGCGATTTTCATTAACAATGAAATGAAAACATGGACTTTGATATTTACCCACAGTTTTTTTTGTAAAATATTGTTTAGAGACAGTGAACTGCTATTTGAAGTCGTTTACTTTCGAATTTTGAAGAGATCTCTAATAATAAATTGGGTGATGAATGAATCAACCTACAGCTATTTTTAAACCATTATTCCTCACGTCTATATCACTGTTTGCACGACAAGAACTTTGATTTTGGTTAAGAAATTTTCCTGTTTATTCTTTCCTTTTTAAAATAAACTAATCATTCTTGTTTACTTACGCTTGTGGGCATCCATGAGAGCATTTGGTGTAAATCCTTTTTATAGGGACATAACAGGGTATAAGTGAAGTTGGCCCACATCCAGTCTGGGTTTGTTTTTCTTAGGAGATCAGGTGTGCCGCCTGTCACAGTATTAATCACTGGACTGTCGCGAAGTATTTTACGAAATGTTCAAGTCTGAGTGAACTGTCTTATACCCTGATGCAGAAAGTTTTCTTATCTATCCTTTCTTATATCTCCATAAAAAATTGTGCAGACTTTTATTGAAATAAGAATCAAAATGTCTCTTGACAATAACATGTTTAACAGAAAAGAAATGAACTTTTACAAGTCATCTTGGTACCTTTTTAATGCAGGGCATCTACCGTAATCACATAGTTTTTAAACTCCTTTCCCAAATAGACCTTCTTTTTAGTATATCTACATATATCAGTTGCATTTGTTTCTATGCTAGCACTCATGTTTCTTTCTAATGCTTGTTGATTGTTCTTTTCTATTTGTGCTGATGTGTCGAACTCTGACCCGTCATGCCCCAAGAATCAAAGTTATATGCAAAATTCCTAGAAGATACATGTAGTTCAATCTCTTCCTTTCCCAACAATTTCTGCAGGCCACCTCACTACAAATGTGATGAGAGGATTCTTTGGGTTAAAAAAAACTTAGCATTGCAATCTTTTAAAATTTAAACAATTAAGTACTAATTATCCTCCTCCCTTGTGGGATTTTTCAGGGAATAAATGAAACAAATGCAGCTGTACATGTAATTCTAATGGAACATAACAAAATTAGGAATCCTAACTGGTGAGAGGCTATCCAGTTGGCCATTTCACAAGTGTGGCCAAGGATTTGAAATTGGGACTGTGGAGAATAAATCCAGCTAGTGAGTGGTCAAGGCATTTTAACTGCTTGGCCACGCTGTTTCCCACTGGTCATTGCTTGTCAGCAATTACTTATTGCATCTTTTTTCATAGGCTGAGGTGACATCTTGGTTTGAAGAACTACCAAGAAAGATTAAAAAGATTCCATTTAAGGACACTGGAATTGCTGCTATCCCATTCCTGTGTTATCTGATAGTCTATTCAAATTACTCTTTTTTTCGAACAATTCTTGGACTTGGAAAAGTGACAAAACCGAACCATACATTTCTACCATGGATGGAAATGTTAGTCTTCCATTGTTTTCCTCACCAGATGCTAGCAAAATTTGCCCATCCTGTACTTGACTGTATTGCAGCCATGCCTTATCTGTTTCATTTTGGTCTACCATTCATATTTGCATTCTTTAAAGTAGTGAGCAATCGTAACATTCGTGGAGTATATCCATTTCTTTGGTGCGCTGGATGGGTCAATCTAGTTGCGACTGTCATCCAGTTCCTGTTTCCTACAGCGCCTCCTTGGTATGTGGACTCTGTGGTTTTCAGTCCAAGTGGAGAAGTTCTTAAATCGGCAGCAAATGAGGCTGGATTTCATGGACTTGATGCGGTTCTTGGGTTTCCATTTTTTCATGGGATTTATGCTGCATCGCCATTACCGTTTGGAGCATTTCCGTCACTCCATGTGGCTTGGCCTGCTGTTATATTAGTTAGTGGGCCTTGGATTAATGAGAAATTTGCCATGTTTCATGTTGTGTGGATAACATGGGCGGCACTTTATTCAAATCATCATTATGGTGTCGATGCAGTTGGTGGAATATTTTTGGTGTTCCTGGTGAACTTTATGATGCGCAAGGTTTGGTGTCCATTTCCATTAGAAAACGGCAAGAAACCATCCTGTCATATCTGCAGAAGAATATCTCCACCTTTATTACAAGTTTAGGGATGTATTTATCACGCAAAAAAAATCATTAGATTTTGAAATTATCGAAAGACATATATGAAACACAGACCGGTGCACATTTCTAAAGCTCAAAGGGGCTATGTCGGGGTAAATTTCACATTTTTGGTCAAAGCTGAGCTATGTGTAGAATTACAACTAAGTATTTGCAGTCATCTTACATCATGTTTTGAACTCTGAAAAATAAGTATCAAGTGATTATACAGTCGACTCCCGGTAACTAGAACCCTCTATAACTCGAACCTCCTGTTAACTCGAAGCAATTTTCATTTCCTTTCAGAACATTTTCTATATAATTTTACCCTCGATAACTCTAACTCCCCATAACTCGAAATTTTTTCTGTTTCCCTTGAAGGTTCAAATTATTGGGAGTCGACTGTAATATGAAAAAGAAAATAAAGCATGATCCATTTTTTTTGTGATTTTTCAATAACACAGCAGTTAAACTTGTAAAAGGTTGGCCCAATCTGTTTCAATCCTGGTCATGAAAAGTACATATTCATAGTTATGTTGTAGAAGAGGAGTGATATTTTAGATGTATTTCTAGGATTTTTTTTGATTCCAATGTGTTTTTCAGGATTTGAAATTAATACCAAAAAGTCATGGCATAGCTCCTTTAAGTCAGTCATCAATGTTGCTTAATCGGTGACTGAAAACAGTGTACCTGTAAGTTGCTTTGTGGTAATTGGTCAGTTGTGCTTTCTGCACAGATTTTCTACACATATTGGTTACTGTTTTATTTTTCACTTAATTTGCAATATATTCTAACCTCTTGTACATTGGTACCAAGACACAAATCTTTTGTGAAGGTTGAAGGTGATTTTTTTGACTAAACTTGAGCAGCTGACTTTCTTAAGTGAGATGCAGTTTAATACTAGACTACAAGGTTAGTTTGTTGTGGTGGTTACAAATTACTCTCTAAAACGAATAATTCAAATCGTATGACTGATATGTAATACATTAATTTTTTAAGAAAAAGGACAAGTTACAAAAGCAAATATGAAAAAATAGAGTTTTGAAATTGCACTTTATTTACAATATACGTGCATTCTTTCATTCATATTTCCTTAATTATTGATATAGTTAGTGTTTGAAATTAAACAGAGGAATTTGTTAAGAGCTTCGAACCATCGATGATTAAATTTGTACTTCATTTTTCTTTCAAAAAATTGAAGAAAATCTTACAGGTTGTTCATTCTCCCGTGTGGCAATTTGTTGTTTGTGATGGTTTTTTTTTTAAGAAGATGCTAGTTAGTGTATGGTACTAAAGTAGACTACTAAATTCTCTTTCACAGTACAATATTGGGTTTGTCAAATGTACGTGTCTAATGATAAACGGTGACATTTTTGGATTCATCATGAAATTTAGTGTCTCATAGAGAGGAGCTCAAAAATCTAATGTTCATGGAGGTGCACATATTAGTACATGTTTTCAGTTGTGGTAGTGTTATAGCGTTACTCATTGGATGGTCGAAGAGTTTATTCACTTGTGAATGCTAATATAGAAGACAATGTTGGGTTTTGTATCTGCTGTTACAAAATTCAATTTTCTTTGTCTTGAAGAAAATTATTGTGGTAAGGATTGATTTTGTAACAGCAAATTCATATGTGAATATTGTTTAGGTAAATCAATATTATTGAACAAAGAGATTTTTGTTGGTAGGAATTCTTTATAATAAAAACCTCAAGGATTGGTCTCATACCTGTGGTCTAATTATTTTTGCTTGGTTGAATTGGGAGGGAAAATCTTTTAGTGATGTTATTTCTGGCACACATTTTTACCTGGTCTTTCTTCTTACTCTTGCTCCATTTCTACAAGATTGCTATTACAAATTGCACTTTGTGATTCGCTGAAGTACTTGCTGACTATCAGCTCATAGATAGCAAGTAGGATTGTTGGCAATTTAAAGTGGCTGTCTAATGTATTTTGCGATTATTACCAATTACACGTCAACATTCGCAATGGAACTTAACGTTCATGACGAAATTACTGGTAAATTACAAAATCACAGCTTCAATTTTGAAAAGCTGTTACACTAACAAGTTTTCAAAAACCTTAATTTCAATCCGTTTTACAAATTTGCTCGTCAGTGCGTTCTGATGTATTTGTGGTGTTATAGGTGGTTTTCACGTTACCTCATCGCCGGCATGATGGTGGACAGTAAACAAAAGATCGCTCATTAGCTCGTTTTGTTTGTCCATCAGCATTTGTCCATTTCACCATTATTATTTGTGTCTCCCGAGACTGCATGAAAACCACCTATTTAACATACCGTAAAATTCCGAAAATAAGCCCCGGGGCTTATATTTTTGAAAGGCCCTTTTTGAGGGGCTTATCTACGGCGGGAAATTTGCGTTTCAAAATCGATTGGGCTACCCTTATAGCTGGAGGGAAATTTGCCGTTTTTGCTTTGTTTTACTTTGTATTTGAGGGCAAATTTCCAAGTACAAGCCCCCGGGAGGCTTGTATTTGGAGGGGCGATTTAACGAAGGGTTTTTTTGCGTTACCGGTTTTGGGGGGGAGGGGGGAGGGGGGGGGGGGCTTATACATGGAGGGACTTCTTTTCGGAATTTTACTGTACCCTCTTTTTATGTTCTGAGCTGCTATTTTTTCCTTCAATCAATTTGATGGCAGTTCCAAGTGAACTTCAATGAATTTCGTGGTACAGCTCCTTCAACCCTTTAATCCCCGATATCCACTAAAAAATTCTCCAAACTGATCTCCATACATTTCCTTAAAGAATAAGTTGAGAGAATTTGATAACAGATCAGATCAAGCCTCTATTCTTTTAGTGGTCATTTTATTAACTCTCATAACCATTTCTCTTGGCAACATATGGATGTTGGTAAGAGAAAATTGATGTTGGTCACTATTGGGACTTTAAGGGTTAAAGAAACATCTAGAGTTAGGCCCAAGTATTTAACATTATCATAAAGTTTCCGAAGCTTAATTCAATGAAATCTCATTGTTGACATTTGTAAACAAACTTGACAAAATTAATTCTAGCATCAAGGTCTCAGATTTTAATCTTGTTGCTTTCGACTGTATCACACAGTCTTCATCAGCGGTAAACGCTCAATGTTGTCGCGGGAATTAGTCACGTGACAACGAATGATTTAAAATCGCAGGAAGTTCATAATCCCCATCTCTGTTTAGGGTTGGACGCTGGTTTTTCTTTTAATGTCACCCGTGTCCTGGTCAAGGATCTTGATCCCCTCCGAGTAGATCTCATGTTGGGCTTTGGGCTGGTGTTCCCAGACTGCGGATGCTGTTTGTTTTTGCGGGTGTTCGCCCAGTCTCTTCCCCAGAGCCCTAGATGTCTCTCCTATGCCGTGCTCTCCACAACCGTTGCATGTATTGTCGTACACCACGCCAGTTTTCTTTTCAGGGGAGGTCTTGTCTGTCGGACGTACCAACAGGGACCTTAAGGTGTTACAAGGTTTGTTGCAAGTGTTGGTACCATGTGATCTAAAGACTCTACTAAGATGCTCCACAGAGTCCGGACACATAGGGTAGGCCCACGGTGATCGATCTAGCAGACGCCGAGGTGTTGCTTTTGTCCCTTTTCGAAGCTTGCCCAACATGTGACAAACAGAGTCCCAGTGACCTTGTTAGGCGCTCATTTCAACCAAAGAGCATTACTTTTCGAAATTACAAGGGCTTGATTATTATTTTCCCAAACGTTTTTAGGTGAAATTTGACTCGTACGTACTCAAAAATAAACTCCAGCACAAATTTCGCTCCACGCGGTATTACGAAAGTGAGACATTTTCTGATTCCTCTCGCCGACATTTTTGAATGCGATAATTTTAGATTCCCTTTTTTCTATGAAAAATAGCCTAACTTAGGAATGAAAATGTGAAAATAAAACTTCGGAAATCGTAGGGAATTTATAAGTTAATCTTCGAAAATTGTACATGAATGGAACGGTCATCTAGAAATTTTTAGCCGTTCTCAAGTACTAGAAAATTCTAGGCAATATTTGCTTCTCCTAACAGATATTTTACAGAAAACAATCGTTGGGTGCCCCTGATCATTACCAGCGGCATTAATTTTTTTTTATCTCTATCGATTTTGACCCATCTACTACTAACAAAAATTGTCCAGAGCTGGCCTTTTAAAATACTGCAATAGTCAGATAAACCTTGAAATGTTCTTTTTTACGACAAGGCAGCATTTGATTTTGTTGAATAACAATGATATTCACTTTCATCCAAATTTGTTTGGCAACATCTACTAAGGATACTCCAGAAGAGTATTGGTCACCTTTTCAGATAGTGTTGCCGTAAACCTCTTCGTAAAGAGGATAGGAAATATCTGCATGCAGGGTTGGTTTCCATAAAAAAAGATATTTTGTCTAAACGAAGAAATGAGTTCAGGAGACCCTTTGCTCCTCATCATCGTCATTAGTCATTACCCCCACACTCGTCATCATCCTGATATCATCGTTATCATTATTATTATTATTATTATTATTATTATTATTATTATTATTATTATTATTATTATTATTATCATTATTATTACCATCATCATCCTCATCTCTTTGACTTTCATTATCATCATCTTTATCATGCCACTTAGCTGAAAGAAAGACAAATCTCCGTTTTGGCTGGATAAGCGGACAGTTCCGCTGCAGCGTTACTCCCCTTTCAGACGTATTTACACACCTAGACCAATTGAGACAAAATGGAGCCGGGGTATGTATGTGTCTAAGGAAGCGACATCAATGTGAGTACAACAATGGGCAAATACAAGACTAGGGGAGGGGTGGGCAAAAGTCCCATCACTTGACCGCATACTTTCGAAGAAGAAGCATAATATTAAAAACTAACTGGCATAAATTTTTAGTTTAAAAAACAAAAAACACACGGGCACTGCATAATAGCGTAACATTTTACTTTAAGTGGAACAATCCACCTCATTTCGACCTCGAGGGCTTGGGAAAATACCATACAGGGCTACAAAGGGTTTTTTCTTT